GACTATTTACTGTTTTATTATTTTACTATTTACTATTTACTATTTTATTATTTCACTGTTTTTCCTATTCACTATTTTATTATTTTACTATTTTCTATTTACTATTTTATCCTTTTACTGTTTCCTATTTACTACTTTATTATTTTACTATTTCCTATTTGCTATCTTATTATTTTACTATTGACTATTTACTGTTTTATTATTTTACTATTTAATATTTACTATTTACTATTTAAATTAATTTTTAAATTATTTACTATTTACTATTTAAATTAAACTAGTAGAAATAAGTTTAAATTTAAGGCAATCTGTCTGTGAAACATGAATTTTTTATTAAATATCTATAAGTAATCAATGCGACATTTATAGAACTTCAAAATTGCAACCCTAAATTTACAATGTTATTTTTAAATCATTCACTCACGTTTAATTAACATTACCCTTAATTTTTAAACCAATTAAATAAATCACCAACGATTTTACATTCCAGCTGAAGTCGGTTAACAATGATAAAACTATAAATTTTTGTACGAATTAAATCAGATTTACTTAAAATTTCCCAATTTCAATATCGACTTTAACCCAAAATTCATTTCCAATAATTGAAGCCCCATTCCAATTTGTTAAAATCGAATTAAATTTAACGCGATCTGCCTACAAAACATGAATTTTAATTAAATATTTATAAGCAATCAATACAATATTTATAAAACTTCAAAATTGCAACCCCCAGCGGACGAAGTCGCGGAAATGGCGGAAAACCGCGCGAAACGCGAACAGCGTCTGTTGCAATTGTTATTATATATATTATTATTATTATTATATATATAATATTATAATATTATACAATATTATACAATAAATTTGTACAATAAATCGAATGAAATGTATCATTGAAATAAAAAAGGATATCATTCGCAAAAATTAAATCGCCCTGTACAATTCGTAACATAATTTATACGAGTCACCCAGTAGATTCGTTCTTGTCATTCTCACAGAGCAACAGACGCTGCTTCGCGCGGTTTTTCGCGCGGACGAAATCGTTCCGCGCGGTTTCTCCGCGCGTGAATAGAAATCGGTCGCGGCGCGACACCGTCACCGGTTTCGCCGATCAGCGTTCAAAATTCAACCGGCGAAATTGAAATTTCGCGAGCGTGCTAGCTTGCGAACACGACGAATCGCGAGCGCTCGCGGAATTTTTCCGGCTCGCCGGTGAAAAATGCGCGGCGAATCACGGCGAACGGGGCGAGCGCGCGCGCGCGCGACGCATGAAACGGGGAACCTCGGGGATAAAGATTTACGTTTCGAGGAAAAGCGAATCGGGGATACGATGGAAAGCGTATAAATAGAAAGAAATACAGAAACCGAGAAGAATTCGGTTGCGGTAAGAGTGGCGGAGCGGGTGGGGGTGGGGGGTGGCGCCCGGCTCCGTTTCATCCGCCGCCTCTCTCGTCTTTTCCGAGAGAGCCGTGCGCGATACAAATTTTGCTTTGTCGAATATATCGCTCCTGAGAAGAAGAAAAAAAGAAAGAAAAAGAGCGACTCCGAGCGGAGAAGCGAGTACGCGCGTCGCGCACATTATTCGCCGCTGCGACTTTGATGCCGCGACCTCCCGGAAAAAGAAAGAGTATTCGTTCGCGCCTTTTAAAATGCGACAACTTTTCTTTTTTTCTTTTTCTTTTTCTTTTTTCAGAACTTCGTTCGACGGAACGCGACACGAATTTCTTGTAACCCCTTCGCGAACGAACGTTTTTCCAAAGGGAAACGTTTTTCTTCTTTCGTTTGAAAAATCGCGATTCGTCGTGTTATTTTAATTATTTTTTATTCGATTATAAGCGCGGAACGCAATTCCGCGGCACGCGACACGCGAAAAGCGGAAAATATGAGATATATTAATTGAATTATTGGGTTGGCAACTAAGTAATTGCCGATTTCAGTTATAGATGTCTCCCACTCCCAATTTTATGATATCCGTAAATGTTGTATTATAAAATTATTATTATTATTATTATTATTATTATTATTATTATTATTATTATGTTATTTTTTATTATCCGTGAATTATCGTTATTTATCGCCATCGAATTATATTATATTATATATATACGAGTGGATGGTTTTAACATAGCATTGTAAATTTGTAATTATATATATAATATATAATATAATATAATTTTATATATTATATTATATATATAATTAANAGAAAAAGAGCGACTCCGAGCGGAGAAGCGAGTACGCGCGTCGCGCACATTATTCGCCGCTGCGACTTTGATGCCGCGACCTCCCGGAAAAAGAAAGAGTATTCGTTCGCGCCTTTTAAAATGCGACAACTTTTCTTTTTTTCTTTTTCTTTTTCTTTTTTCAGAACTTCGTTCGACGGAACGCGACACGAATTTCTTGTAACCCCTTCGCGAACGAACGTTTTTCCAAAGGGAAACGTTTTTCTTCTTTCGTTTGAAAAATCGCGATTCGTCGTGTTATTTTAATTATTTTTTATTCGATTATAAGCGCGGAACGCAATTCCGCGGCACGCGACACGCGAAAAGCGGAAAATATGAGATATATTAATTGAATTATTGGGTTGGCAACTAAGTAATTGCCGATTTCAGTTATAGATGTCTCCCACTCCCAATTTTATGATATCCGTAAATGTTGTATTATAAAATTATTATTATTATTATTATTATTATTATTATTATTATTATTATTATGTTATTTTTTATTATCCGTGAATTATCGTTATTTATCGCCATCGAATTATATTATATTATATATATACGAGTGGATGGTTTTAACATAGCATTGTAAATTTGTAATTATATATATAATATATAATATAATATAATTTTATATATTATATTATATATATAATTAATTTATTATAATATATATTTATATTAATTATTATATTATATAACATATTGCTGGCAGCTGATTTTCGCCCGAATGTTTCTCGCTTGCGAGCGTGAATTATCCCCGTTGTCCACCGCGGAATGTCTGGTTCAACTTGTTTTCGGACTCTTGTCTTGGGGCGTGGGTGGCTGAACATTTTGAAAGCGCAGGGAAAGCCGGCTGTCTTGCACGGCTCGCGATAAATGTTTCTGCCGCTCGCCGGTCCGCGAAAGAAATTGCGTTGGTAGAACACGATTTGTGGAAAATCGGTCATTCTAACTAATTATAATAATAAATAAATTTTAAACAAATTTTATTGGACACATCGTTTGGGGAAAAAACGCAGTCGCCCGTACGGCGAATTTTTCAACAATTTTTATCACGCTAAAATTTCCCTATAGAGTGCAAAACTTTTACGAAAGCGTCGCGAAAATGTTTCGATCGACGAAAGAAACTTCGAAATTCGCCCCCTCAGGAAACGCCGTTCGAACTCGGCGAAGTTGCCGAGTTCGACAACAAGAATACCCGAAGTCCGGCAACAGGGCACAGTAATTGGCTGGCGTACCCTAGATCGCGATTCAGCGAACAAAGAGGACGAGCCAGCCAAGAACCGTTGTCTTTGGAATCAGCATTCGGAAAGGAGAAACATTTGTACGAGGCTCGTAAAGAGAAAACGGGAAAACCCGAAACGAACTCGGTTTCGACGAGGTAGAAAAAAAAAGAGATCGTCGTCGACGACGACGACGACGACGACGACGACGACGACGACGCGAGTTCTGCCCCTCGAGCGGGGGTTGGATATCGGTGTAGCGGAAAGAAATCGGATGCGAGAGAGTCCGAAGCTAGGGGGATGATGCACCTGGCTCTCCCTCCGGCTGGACGACGGCGGAGAGGGAGGCGCGGAGGAGTTGGGTATCCGGCGAGCGAGGCGAGCGAGGCGAGCGAGAGGACCAGGGCGAGGGAGGGGAGCGCGGCGAGCGAGGTGTGCGCGGCGAGCGAGAGCACCGCGGCGAGCGAGAGCACTGTAGCTAGGGAGGGGAGCGCGGCGACTGAGCGAGAGCGAGAGGTCCGCGGCGCGCGAGCGAGAGGGACTGGCCCGCGGCAGGGAGGGGAGCGCGGCGAGCGAGAGGACCGAGTGGAGCGCAGCGAGCGCGACGAGCGAGGCGACCTAGGCTGTGGCGGGGAGCGCGGCGAGCGGGGGGAGCGCGGCGAGCGAGAGGACGGAGTGGAGCCCAGCGAGCGCGACAGCGAGAAGACTCGGGCGATGGAGAGGGGAGCGTGGCGAGCGGGAGGACCGAGCAGCAGGAGAGTACCGTGAGGCGCGGTAGCGCGAGGGAGAGGGCTGGCATCCCCGGGGGCAGCGGCGCAGGCGTGATCCGGCGTTGGAAAAGCGGTGGCTAGCTGCTCGGAGCGCCCGGGACGCGCCGCTGCTTTTCGCGAGAGTAACAGAGTATCGGAGGGAAAGATCCTACGAGAGGAGAGGAGAGAGAGAGGACGTCTGCGGGAGGAAGAGAGAGAGAGAGAGAGAGAGAGAGAGAGAGAGAGAGCTTTCGCAGAGCGAACGGAGAGCACGAAGGGAGAGCCGTCGGGAGATAAAAGGAGAGGATCGAAAGCGGAAAAAGGGGCGTCTGCGAGAGAAACAGAGACATATATATTTATATATATATATAGAGAGAGAAAGAGAGACAGTTTGCGAGCGAGAAAGGAGAGGCTCGAAAGGGGTGCAGAGGGTGTCGTCGGAGGGAGTCGTATAGAGCGTGCGCAGGCGGTGGAGCGCGGCAGGGGAGCGGCAGGGCGCTGGAAAAGCCGGGAGCGTCGTTGGAAAGCCGTGTTCGGGCACGTCCTGCCGCGAGCGTAGAGAGCGAGCACTTCGCCGCGCGAGCTTTCCGGTGTTTTCCGCGGAGGGAAGAGCCGCCGGGGTTGTTGCCGCGACGTCGAGCGAGAGAGGTGTCGTCCGTGGTGCTGCTCGGCGGCCGACATTCGCGAGAGGACGCTGCGGGAGGGAGGAGGCGCTGGCGGCGGCGGCGGCGGCGGGCGGCGGTGGCGTTAGGCGGCAGAGGAGACTCGACGACGGCGGCGGCGGCGGGCCGCCGGGTGGGGGCGCGCGATAGCGGGCGGCTGGGAGTAGGGGCCGGCGCGCAGGAGTGGGGGCAGCAGAGAGAGGGTGGCGCAAGGTGGTCCGGCACTCCGCAGCATCCGAGCCACGGGGAAGACGAGCGTCCAGGGGTGGTGACCTGCAGCCAGCAGCCGCCGAGAGCTACCCGAGAGTCGCGACCGCAGCGGAGCAGAGCAGAGAGAGCGCCGATCCTCTTGATGGGATCCTGCCGAACCGGGGACCGCTCGCCGTATTAGAAGAGGAACGCCGCCCTGTCGCGACCGAGATTCCGGGCGCCGCCTGAGAGAGAAAGAGAGAAAGAGAGAGAGAGAGAGAGAGAGAGAACGACCGACCGCGGATCAAGAGAACGAGAATCGCGGAGTCCATCGCGCGTCGTCCGCTCGCGTGTGCATTGTACCTGTCGATGCCCCTGCGTGGGAACCGCCGAGACGATCGATCATCCCGTTCCTCCCGAACGGACGCGGACTTCCGGGGCTCGTCGTCGGTGTTCCGTGGGTATAATACCGTCTTCGTTAATTAGAGAAGAGAGAAGAAGAAGAGGAGGAGAGGGCGGGTGCGCGCGCGAGAGCCACGAACGAGAGAGAGCCGGCCGACTGGCTGCGTGGCCCGCTGCCTGGCCGCCTTTATATCTGGAGCACCGATCCTCTCTGATCCCGTGACCTTGTGACACAACGAGACCCGCCGCCGCGCTCCCTGTCTCTCTTTCTCTGTCTCTCTGTCTCTCTATTCGTAGCGGATACACACCCACCCTCTCTCTGTGTGTTCCTCGCGCGCGTCGGTGTTCCGGTGGGTGCGCGAGGGGAGAAGCGGAGAGAGCGAGCCGCGGCACACACACGGAAGAGAGAGAGAGAAGAGGAGGAGAGACGGCTCTCTCGCGTACTAGCCGGGGCAGAGGAGGGATGCGGAAGATCAGGCTGAAGCGTTGAACAGGCTACACACCCTCCGCGGAAGCCGTCCGGGTGGCGCGTGTTCCTCCCGTCGCCGTCGTCGTCGTCGTCGTCGTCATCGTCGTCGGCCTCTCGAGCCAAGGAACCCGGCCTCAGAACAAGTTTCGGCACAGTGCTCCCCGCTGACCCAGGACCGACCCCTCTGTCGTGACCTACGCACCCATCGTACACACGCGCGCATATCGCTGCTCGCCGCCGCGTCCAACGGGGACGACTCTTCCGGATAACCGCGAGAGAAACCGATCGCCGAGAATCGCGAGAGTACACACTCTCTCTCGCTCTCTCTGAGAAGGATTCGGGGCCTGTGAGCTCGTCGAACTAGTCGACAAGCCTCCTTAGAGCTTGCTCGAGGCAATTTCGGGCCCGGTTCGAGCTCCGTTTCGAGGCATTCCGCTTCGGAGAGGCGCGTATAGAACCCCCTCTGGCCGGAAAGTGGGCGCCAGTGCGCCAGAAAGGAGAGAAGAGAGGTGACCTGTGCGAGGGTTCGAGTTTGTTCGCGAAGTGACCGGGGAAACGGTTCTCTCCTTCGGATAGGGATCAAGCCGATCGGAACACCGCCCGGCGAGAAGTGCGACTGCGAAGACACACGAACCGCGGCACTCTGCTCGCGGAGAGGGCGGAGAACGCGAGAGGTTGGTGTGGCCCAGGAGAGGAGGAAATCGCGGTGGAACCGGCGGAACCGGTGGAATCGGCGAGGACCAAAGGAACACCGGCGGAATCGCTGAGGACCGGAAGCTCCGGGAGGAGGAGTAGGAGGAGGAGGATCGAAGCCGCGCCGGAACCATGAGCGAGGGCACGCCGAAGTCGCAGGGGAAGACCGTGCCCGATGGCTCGCCAGCCCGACTCGAAGCCGGTATGATTGTTCTCTCTCTCTCACTCTCTCTCTCTCTTTCTCTCTTGCCCTCTCTCTTTGTTCTATAGTATCCGCAGAACCCCTCGAACTAAAGCACTCGAACTGTATAACACACAGAGCACTCGAACTATTGTCCGTAGCGTTCGCCTAATTCCGCGGCTCGGCCGCCGGACACGCGGAAACTGGGCTTCGAGCAGCGGGCTTTAAGTGGAATAGGTCGAGCTATGGTCAGCCGCGAGCGGCCCTTTAATATTTGATGCGACGATTTAGCAGCCGCGAGCAGGCGGCTGCTGCGGCTGTAGAGCGTCGTCGGCGTTGCCGTTTAGACGAGGATCTAGGTGTGTAGATCGGAATTATTCTTTTTCCCGAAGGGGGAAATTCGGTCTAGTTTTTTCTTTTTCCTTGAGGGGAAAAATGGGGGATCCAAAATGGACGATTCGGGAAGAGGAGAAACAAAATCTTCCGACTTCCGAAACGGTTCGACGAGCTGACGGGACTCGTAAATCGAGGTCCCCGGATCTACGGGGCGTCGTCGATTTTCGACAACAATGACACTTGGTCAGAGATATTTTACCGATCACGAGGCAGCCGATAGCGACGATAGCGTTCCGTGGTTGGGCGACTTGCAACGCGGATTATCGCGAGGCGTCGCGTAATCGGCGTCGATCGCGACGATCGCGACGTTTAAACGCGTCGAACACGGTAAATTTCTCCCTAATTGGCGCTCTGATTCTGCGCAAAAATGGACAGTTTCGGGAGAGGAGGTACGATTGTTCGAGCATCGCGATTCATTTTTATAGTTACCGATCGTCGACGATTATAAAAACGAGGCGCAAGGATCGGATAATCGTAATTCTTCTTGGCCAAAAAGTGGCCATTTTTGTGCACATGCTGGAGCAAAATCGGGGAGAAATTACTGTGCACCCTCCTCCAAATATATTATATATATACATATAATAATATTATATTATATTACAAACGAATCGGAGAAATCGATAGGAAGTTCTTAGAATTTNGCTCTGATTCTGCGCAAAAATGGACAGTTTCGGGAGAGGAGGTACGATTGTTCGAGCATCGCGATTCATTTTTATAGTTACCGATCGTCGACGATTATAAAAACGAGGCGCAAGGATCGGATAATCGTAATTCTTCTTGGCCAAAAAGTGGCCATTTTTGTGCACATGCTGGAGCAAAATCGGGGAGAAATTACTGTGCACCCTCCTCCAAATATACTATATATATACATATAATAATATTATATTATATTACAAACGAATCGGAGAAATCGATAGGAAGTTCTTAGAATTTCTCCGATTTCATTTGAAAATTAATTTCATGGTACCGCGACAAGCGGATTGTATTTATATTCGACGGTGCGATAAGAATAACGCGAATTTTACGAAACAGAATCAGCGTTTCTCTTCGGCGATTCACTTTCGCCGCGTTCTTAATTATTTCTTCGACCGATTTCGGCGTCCGTTTTTATTATTATTTCGTCCGTTATTTCCGTTCCTATTTGGTTCCGCGTATTTTTTACCGTGCTCCAGGCGCAGCAAATTCGCTCCAATTTTCTGTTCGGCTCGGACAAAGCTGGATCCGAAAAATGGACGATTCGGGAAGGGGGGATTCGATTTTAGGAGCTTCGCGTCTCGTTTTTACAATTCGTCGACGATCGGCGGGCGTGAAAACGAGCCGCGACGGGTCGAACGAGCGCGTCTCTTTTCTTTCGAAAAGTGGACATTTTCGTTTACACGCTGCAGGAAAATCGGGGAGAATTTACCGCGCACCGCCCTTCGAATAATTCTTTGTTCGAACGATTCGTGGCTCGAACGATTCGCAGTTCGAATCGTTCTTTACTCGGATAATTCTCTGTTCGAACGATTCGCTGTTCGAATAATTCTTTGCTCGAATAATTCTGTATTCG